GATTCCGAGCAGGGGCAAACATGAGTAGTGAATGCGTTCGCTTAGCTCGAGGCTTGGTAAACCCAAACGCCACATGCAGCCTTAGGAGAACTGACTGTCGATGTTTGAGGACGCATTTACCACAGACCTCCAAAAAAAACATTCCAGAAAATCTGAAGTATTTCTCACTGTAATCAGTCCCGAACGCGGTGTAACATTCCCGCCTTTGTATGGCAATTTTCACCTATTCGTAAACCAGATTTTAGCGCAAGTAGGCCTCAGCCCGTAAAAATTGAATTCTTGATTGCCTAGTTCGCAAAGGCTTACCTTGGACTGTATATTTGAGTACAATTCGTATCTTTTTTTCAGGATGCGGTACAAAAAGAAATCCTGGAGTTGGAAATGCGTGCGCGGGCCATACGAGCAATGCTGAGTAAATCGAAGAACTAATTACTTCAGACGGACATTTTGATCACCTGTACCATATGCATTTTACCTGAAAATGATTTTATTACCATGTTCCATTACTTGTGTTTTTTTCTTCACTTGACTCACCCTACTTCAATCCTCCTCATCTGGTTCCTGTCCACATTACTGTCTTCCAACTGTTTGATATTTAGTCCAACGCCTTAAGTAGCTCATCGAATAAGTTCTGATCATAGTTTGACATAGTTTTGACTACGGAATTTGCACTAGAACGTCAGCTGACTGATTTGAATTCGCAGACGACATAATCTCACAAATGTTACTGTGATCACCTACAAAATATATTGTTTAGAGTTACTGAAACCGAAAAATCATTCGTTTGGCTCCTAAAGCTGTGAAGTTCAGTGTTTTCGCTTGTAACCTCTGGTTGATGGATAACAGCTTGAGTAAGTAGACAGCTTTAGATATATTGTACCCAAATTGTCGTCAAACAGAGTAGTTACGTGAATGAGGAAGAAGGATAGCCTTGGTGGCCTTGGGATGGTGGGCATTTCCGACGCCTAGTCCCGCAGCGATGCGCTCTGTCGCTTCTGATACATCCTCCGTACGTACGGCTCCGGAGGACCCAAACATGCATCAAGGATGCCTCAGAAACGACTGGGGGCATCGCTATGGGACTAGGCATCGGAATTGCACACCGCCCAAAGGCTACCGTGCGCAACCGGGTAATGAAAATAAAAGACCAGCTGCTCGGTTCGCGCGTACACGAACATAAGCTGGCTGTCAGACGGGGTGACGCATTGTCGCAAGTGGCGGCCCACACCTACGAGACTGGTCACAAGTTTAACTTCGCAGCTGCGAATATAATCGCCCACGCCAGCAGCAAGACAGGCCGAGAATTGATTGAAGCCTGGGCCTCGGATGAGAATTCAGTCAATCGATCTGGCGCCAGCATACATCGTTCTTTGCACGGCCGACACTGGCGTTTACTGAGTGCCCTCTCCCTTCCCCCTCCCCCCATATAACGGTTGATTGGTTCCTATAACTGTTGCCTGTTCTTCGTGGACGCTTTTATCTCTGCGATGGACTCCCGCAAAAGCCCGAAAGCTCAAAACAATAAACAAATTGATCCGGTGCTCGACAACCCTTCTTCCTCATTCGTGCAAATACCTGAAACGCGAACATTTTCATTCATTCGAGAGTAATAACGACATCGTTGCTCAAATCGGTGTTGCTCATCGGGTTTTGGTGAACTCGAAGGTGTTAACAGACTAATTGCGATATGTCACCGGGTTTCACTCCGGTCAGTCCTCCACGGTTGCAAATGCTGAACGAATGGTAAAAGACGAATAAAAGCGGTGTCCTTCTGGGAATAGTCTATCCAGTTAACTCCGCCGCCGTCGTCTGGAATAAGACAGTTCGCCCTCATTGCAGCATCGCAAATGTGTCTCAGGCCATTCGAAAAAGACGAACGACGTGGTTTTTTGTGCGCCAATCCTCGTTCGCCTCGTTAAACCTGCACCGTCGTCCAAGATTCGACACCGTTAGCTTACTGGAGGCAGCTGCGAAGGGGTCGG